ATGAAAGACATAATCTCTGAGGAAAATCCTAGATAAAAATTTGCAAATGAGATTTTTTTTAACTCTTGGAAATGAGATGTATTTATTGTCTGATTTACTCTGGAGAGGTGGATGAAACAATATCCCATGGGGAGTGAGGCAAAACACAACACTGATTTCTAATCAGATGTTCTAGACTCATGGGATCAAAATCCTCTGGAAAGCCTTAAAAGAGGTTCCTGCCAGGCATACTGCAATTATACGTAGCAAGTAATGGTCTTTTCCACACTTTGTTCTTGTTATCTTTATCAGGTGTTTCAAATGGATTTATAGCAAAGGTTAATATAATCAACAAAGCACCACAAAATTTGTTCTGATTATTGAATGATTTGAAATGCTGGGGCAGTGAACAGATGGACTCGCAAACCTCATACTGTTATGAAAAGTAGCCAAGAATCTGCATTTTACAGTGCCTGGAAGGCATGCAATGAAGCTTTGGGTAAGTGTAATTGATGTCTGCATTTTTGCAAGAACTGTACTCCAGTTTTCTCTGCCATCTACCTACCTATCTTTCTACCTTACTACCTACATATTCTACTATCTTTTTGATAATTTTGAAGTGGGAAATTGGAATGTAAAAAACTGTGTACATCCAATTGGTTTTGTATAGAACCTGTGAAGTATGCAGCAAAGGTTTTAAAACTTTGGAAATCATTATCATTGATTTCTTGTTTGTTTGCCGGAACTGTTGCCAATATTTTTGCGCATATGTGTTTGAAATATATGAGATATAGGGAAGTTCTGCAAAGGATAATGAATTTGACATGGGAGGAATTATGGAATATATCGAGGTCTAACATTGAGGTCTAACATTGTGGATAGATTCAATAATGGCTAAAACAAACACCTGACAAATCTTAAGAAGAGACTTAAGAGGTCAAAGAATTGAGGATATGTTCTGTGCAGGCTGTCATTGCAATTGCTCTCAGGGTGTTCCTCTCGGTAATGCTATTGTAGAAAAGATATAATAAGTCTATTCCCTTGACATCTCTGAGGAACCAACACTAATGTTCCTCTGCTCATGTGGAAAAATAAGAGATGTATATTCTTCAGTTTTATTAGACAAGGTTGATTAAACTTAAACTATATGTTTATCAGCAAATTAAAAATTATTGTCTTTTTCTGTCTCCAGGTATTATATATGGATTGAAGGCAACATGTACAATCTCACTTCCATATCTGGTTTTCTGCTGTTGGACTTCTCAAATATCAGAGGACTGCAGATCTTACATTTCTTTGGGTTCCTAGTGCTGTTCCTAATCACAATAATAGGAAATCTTCTCATCATCATTGCAATTCTGACAGATTACCAGCTACACTCCCCCATGTACCTTTTTCTCTTCTGTTTGGCTGTGGTGGACCTTGGTTCAGTTTCTGTCACAATACCAAAATCTATGGCTATATCCCTCATGAACGACAAGTCAATATCTTTTTCTGGATGTGTAGCTCAAGTTTTCTTTTTCTTTTTCTTCATAGCATCAGATTTTGTTGTCCTCAATATAATGGCACATGATCGCCATGTTGCAATCTGCAACCCACTCCATTATGAGAGAATCATGAATAAGGAAGCCTGTGTTAAGATGTTAGCTATTGGGTTGATTATAAGTCTGATTTATGCCACTTTGCACACCAGTGGCACCTTTGTGATTACCTTCCGTTCAAATTCTGTCAACCAGTTCTTCTGTGAAATTCCACAATTATTGAAACTCTCCTGTTCTGACATATATCTAGTTGAAGTTGGGCTTCTTGTACTAAGCAGCATTTCCGCATTAGGATGTTTTATCTTTATAATCATCACATATGTTCAGATTGTTGCTGCAGTGCGCAAAATCCCCTCTGTACATGGCCAGAAAAAAGCCCTTTCCACTTGTATTCCCCATCTCACTGTTGTTTCTTTACTATTAATCACTGGATCATTTTCTTATGCAAGGCCTCCTAGTGATATATCTTCTAGTCTGGATTTGAGTTTTGCTGTGATATATTCCATAATTCCTCCCATGTCAAATCCATTCATTTATAGTATAAGAAACAAAGAGATCAAGAATGCTTTG